AGGGTGGGTCGGACGAAATGCGCGGCTTACAGTGTCACTCTTCACGTGCCTTTATTTGGTAACGTTTGTGGTGGTGTATGTTGGTAACTTATTCCCGTAAGGGATTTTCCATTTGAGCTCTGACGGTTTGGTGATAATGAGTGCTAAGTTATAGCAATCAATCTGACCAAGGGCCCTGGAGATATGGGAGAAATGTGCTCGACTCCCAGAGAGGACGCGACACCAGATTATAGCGGTATTTTTTGTTTTTTTAGCCTCTGCTACGAAAGGGCAGATATGTGCACTTGTGTTTGTGGCAGGCCGGGTATGTTGCGCTTTGGTTTCCTAAAGCTTTTAGCTCGTAGCCTTTACTCTATCTATGTCTTCTAGGGTAGTTTTCCTATAAGTTTTCCAAAAATTAATTTTGTGATCGTTGACACTATGATTGTTACAGTTTTTTTTGAACCTGAGTGTTTTGCGGAGTCTTCGTATTGTTTCTGTTAAAATAAAAAACATCTATATGGATTCTGACTTTCTACATCCAACTCCTAGGGTTAGTCATTACTTACTGAGGGAAAAAGATTATGAAGCTGTCCCCGGTTTTCGTAAAGTGTAGTTATGTTCTCTGTTCTGGGAGTTGTTGTGTAGCCTCGCAGACCGTGAATAAACATGGTATGGGGTTCATATCAGGGTTAATAGAATGCTGTGCGTTACTCGATATTGCGATCGCCTGGATTGATTGGAAGTAGCAATACTTTTACATTTTTCCGATATCGGTTCTGTATTATTTTGCTTATCAGTTATTCTATGGTGGTTTCGTTACGTGGTGCTGGGAAGCCGTTGGAGAAATGCTTGAGAATGTGGGAGATCGTGGCGCGTGTATTTCAATGTGTGGTATGTAAAGGTGCTTGAATTTTGGAATCGGGTGCTGAGATTGCGTGAGATATAAGTCGGACGCCTTTGAACAAATGGTCACATGGTTGCGCTATGCGGCGGTTTATCTCCTTTTACAATAGAAGTTGCGGTATCCCACGGGCGACTGAGTACCGTGGTGCGGCGTTTGTTACGATGAAAAGAAGAATATAATTGGCTTCGCTTCACATCAAAACAGCTCCGCTGCGCCTTGCCCGCTCTAGTGGCCGACCTGCAGTGTTTGTGGTTACGTGTGACGCTGGGCATTCTGATGAAGTGATAGATGACAGGTGGTGCCAGGAGGTTGGCAGTTAAAACGAGCGTTGGCTAACAGAAGACAAATACACAGCCATGGCTAAGACGAGGGTCAAGCCCACGAGTAGCGTCGCCTGCAAAAGCTTTGCAAAAATAAAGATTTCGAGAGTCTGTGCTAGACGAGCCAGCAGAAAGGTACGCCGTGAGTAGCAGTGGATTATTAGATTCAGGCTAACGTTGCATGTTACCGTTTGTTTAAGCTAGAACGTTAGCCACTGAATAGCGAACTCGATTGAGGGATAAAAATAATTGCAGTGGACAAATCATTTCAGAGGAGCGTACTATGTTAATGTGCGTTACATCGCCATCGTGTGGTGTTCAGAGGATGAAGCACTCACTTTGAATTCAACCCAGTCTCAACGCATTTTCGTGCTTATATCACGCAATATAATCTATTGATTCCGATAGAGCGAGTTTGAAAGTTAATTAATAGTATTTCTACTAGGTAGCTAGTATTTCGTGCCTAAACAAATGTGGACTTGCTCTATCGAAATCAGTCACATTGACATACACATTTTCGTTTGTATTCATTGGTATGGGAAGCCGTGAGTGTGTTTGTGCTATTTTTGCGTTTGTGTACCGGGGAAAACACTTACAAGAAACACGGCTGTTGTATGCTTGGCTGTGATGTTAAATTAGTACCGTTCTCTGCTTGTAATTATGCCGTTAGAAAGCATCAAAGTTGTAATTTATCAATTGAATTTGCCCGAAACAAGTTAATATTGCTGAAAGCCAATGCTTGTTTATTTGAAAACAGATGAAAACCAAACTGTCTTTTATATAAAATTGAAGTATTATACAAGTAAAAATACATTTTGCTTAATCCTGTATTGTAGATCCGAGCCGAAACACAGTCTTCTTTGAAAGTATAATACAGTGTCTATGATCAGTCACATTACCATCATCATTGTACAACATTTGTATTTTATTTCCATTTGTTACCATTGTGAGTCCTATTTTTGTATGCCAGCTCAATACGGTGATTTGTGGCACAATTCAGGCCAATACACTTGCAGAGGTGAATAAGACTCAGATATTGTACTTGAGTAAAAGTACAAGTACTCCATCTTGTAGTGAAATTAATAATACTCAGATCTTGTACTCTAGTAAAGTAGAAGTACCAGAGTGTAGAATACTCTGTCAAAGTAAAAGTCCTGGCATTCTCAAGTAAAAGTAGAAAAAAGTATTATCATCAAAATATAGTTAAAGACGTACAAGTAGTCGTATGTGCAGATTGTCCATTTCAGAATCATCAGATATGATATGTTTTATAATGATGGATCATTAAAGTGTTATCAAAGTGGTAAAAGGTGCAGCATGGTTTCGATGACTATTGTATACCTGCAGGTACTTGGTGAATTTATCTCCAGGTTGGAATTCTAAAGTCTGATTTAATCACTTGATTTATAATTTCACGGTTCTTCCATTCTCACATCTGCTTGAAATGTACTAATTAGGTTATTTAAATTACATGTGTAAAGGGAAAACGTACACCATGTTACCTCTGACTTATGTTCTGATCTGCCAACCTAAAGTACCTTTCAAAATAGTAATCAGATAATGGTATTGATAAGTTTATGTGCTGATTGTTTTTATATTTGAGCTCAGACAGGTAGATGTTGAGGCTTCAGTTCTACGTACAGATCACTCATTTGTGAAATATTAGCTTCTTTTCTTTAATTTCTATCCTCTGTGTAGAAAGCTAATTTCACGAAACACACATTTTGGTTGTTTATAGCATGAAATGAACATCTGATTTAATACTCGCGCCCGCGTGAGCGGAAATGAGCGTTGATATTGGTGTACTAAATAGGGGTATGGTTAAGAGACCGCTGTATAGATGCTGGAACAATGCAATTGAAAATTGTCTTTGAAAAGTGCTCTGACATTTGATTTGGAAAAGGTTTAATGTAACCTCTGAGTTACTGCCATGCGAATGCCCTGCCAGTCCAGCCCCGCCCTTTACTCAATGCCTGTTCGTTTTGCAGGTGCATTAATGGCCTGAGAGTAGGAACAAGCAAGGCTTAATCCTGGGGCATATGTATGAATCATATCATGTTTCGATGAGTCTTCTTGTTGTCCTCCACAATTATTTCGAAGCCGCTAAGGAGTTTACTATGATTCGTTGGGGCGGAGCAGTCGGAAGTTGGCCAACATAAAACTGTTTAAAAAATCTTTGAAAGGTGAAATGTAGGGCCAGACTTTCACTCTAACAGTCATAGCTGCTAATTAAACTCCAACAATAGAAAAAAGATTACACCCCTGTTTCTTGACAGCTCAGCATGTGCAGGGCAGTGGTTTAAATACGCTGCAGCTTTGTGAGGGCACCCTCCTCACATTTTTTCCTCCCACTTTTATTCCCCAGTGTTGTCGAGACTATTCTTAGCCATGTGCCAGCGAATGTCAAGGGAAGAGGTGACCATGGCGATGAGGAGCAGCAGGCAGTGGTCCACCTCAAGCTCAAGGGGCCGGGGGGGGGGGGGGGGGGCAGGCAATAGGTCAGCGGCTCGGCAGCCCCCGTACTTCCAACAGCGCACCACGACTACCAGACGCAGAAGGCCAACATCCTGCAGCTGCTCCAGCAGGGCCAGCTCAACGCAGGCCTTTCAGGCAGGTATCACACTCACACACACACACACCAAACATCACATGGCGTGTTGCGTTCTTTGCTTATTTTTTTTCCTTTTGGTTTTTGTGTGTGTTGTTTTTGTTTGTGGAGTTTGCGCTGTTGTTTGGTTGGGTGTTCGTGCGGTGTTGTGCGGGTGCGGGGGCCAGCCACACACACACACACAACACAGCGACACACAGCATCCAACACACACACACACACACACACACACACAAAAGTTCAGAGTTCAGTTTTTGCAGAGAAGAGTACAGACAAACAACGAGGAATGATTAACATCAAAGAACTCTTGGAGAGAGAGGAAGGGACGGGATGTGCAGAGTTTACATAACTTTGGATAATAACACGGGAGAAACGGATCCTCTCTTTTCCTCTCTCCCTCCCTCTCTCTCCTGACAGCCCGTCAGTTTCTCATGCAGCTCGCTAAACAGTGGGCGGGGCTTCAGGTGATCATGCAGAGCTGCGTGTCTCAGCAGCAGCTGATCTGATCTCTCTCTCTCTCGCGTCCGGTTATACTTCACTCGCGTTTATGTCCATATCGATCAGATCCAGCTCTCCTGATCGGCCTTTATAGAGAGCACAGATCAAACTATTAAGAGTGAATATCGGCCAATAAGCCTCCCTAATTATTACCGGACATTTTGACCAGCAGGTTTTGAATTTACCGGTTTTCAATAAATGTTACCAGCTAAAAACCGATAATTACCGGCTAACGGAAACCCTGGAAGGTAGATGTGTCTGTTGTGTGAGAGATCAGAAAATCTGTGTATGAATGTGTAATCAGTAAATGTGTATATAGAACAAATAAAGATAAAATAATACTCGCTGTGTCGTGTTTACATAATAAAATAATAAATGTAAGCCACTTGTTTAAAAGTTCCACAGCATAACAAAATGCTTTTAAGTTTTATTCACCTTATGTAGCCCCGCCCCTTTCCCCACCTCTGTTTCAAACGCATGTGTGTTAGTTCTTCCAGTTTAGCACTAGCAGCATTGTAATCAATGAATTTGAGCTCATTAACAGCTACACTGCACCCCTGGAATGCTTTTACAATATCACTTTACCCTGTTAGTGGCTGGCAGGAAGATTTATGCAAATGGGCAAAATCTTATATGAGGACAATATGGAAAAACGATGAAAGTTCCAAAGCACACTGGCTGGCAGCTCCAAAGATTTCCCAAATATGCATTATTTGGATAAATGTATTGAATATATAAAAATCTCCCAAAAATATGTCTCTCCTGAAAAAGAGTTATAACTTAATAACAGTTTATTTGGCAAGTAACGGTTGATAAAGCTGGCTACGCTATGCACTGTGACTAACAGATGTGCAGAAGGCTTATCCAAAATTGCCATTTGACAAAATGCTACCTCACTCCCCAGAAATTACATCTCTTTTTTCTCTTGCACTAATCTTCAAAATAAATGAAAAGCAACATATTATTTAGCATATGGGTATTTTCCCACTGTACTGAAGATGCATTTGACCCAGGTTTGGACCAAATTGTGACTTCTCTGTACCGTAACATCCCTAATCTAATATTAACCTACTCTAAGTGGCCGTTTACAACCTTTTCCCATCCCCCATTCTTAAGTCTCTGGCTATTTGTCATCATCCATGTTTTGTTCATATAATTCAGTCTTGGCTAATGAACTTTTTGATTGACCCATGAAAACATTGAATGGCCTATCTAAGCTCTTACTTTAATACTTACTCCCATTCTTGGCAGATTGTGTAGTTTATTACATTCCTCATCATGTGTCTCTTTTACTAAGAAAGAAATGGCTTGTACTTTACAACTGGTTGACTAGTCTTTACTTGAGGAGGCCCACTGTGGCTGTACATCAATGCTTTTCTTCTAGATTTATTACATAGAAAGAGATATTTGAACATGAGTTTCAGTGTTCAAAGATACATTAATTGAATTTGAATGTAATTCCCTCCCTCTTTCTTTCCCTGCAGGCTCTGTCAGCCACTGATCTGAACCTGGTCCTGTACGTGTGTGAGACCATCGACTCCCAGCAGGTGTTCGGGCAGCACCCCTGCACTCTGAGCCAGCCCGTGCTGCTGTCGCTCATCCAGCAGCTCTCCTCCAACCTCACCACCCGCTCTGAGCTCAAAATCAGGTGAGCTTACGACATATGCCTTTCTTTGTACAGTATGGGATTTGCTTACTAGGGCGACTGTGGCTGTGAGGGAGTGTGGTCGTCTTTCAACCAGAAGGTTGTGGGTTCGATCCCAGCCCATGCAGTCAACATGTGTATGGTACAGGTGTTCCGTTACTCCAGTCAGCCGTGTGGCCAACCGGATACGGTAGCACTACGATTGAGTTCCAAGTTGGTCATGAAACGGGTTC